ACGGGGCTGGTTTTGGTCACTGCCAAGTCTGCAGCACCTAGAACACTGCCTGGCACACACACGGCAGACAAGTGTATTCACTGGATGAGCTGCAGGGTGTTAAATACAGCTGTTTCGCCGTCTTATTTTCTCTAGGCCAAATAAATAGAACCTTCCTACCACTGTTTCCTTTTCATCATTTTGAGTCTCCCTATCTACAATATATGACGGTAAGTAAGTTCTCTTAAAAAACTAAAAGAGCAGATGACGGACATTCTCTTATACTTTAAATCTCCCTAGAACAAACCGGTAAACAAAAGAGGACATAATGAGGAAGATGCCACTTAGAAGTTATGCCTGACTTGCCCTTCTAGCTCTTGAAACTAATCTTTCCTTCTGAAAAACATATTAACTCCTTCAGGACAGGATCCCAAAAATACCAAGAAACAGGAAAAAAAAAAGTGTGTGTGTGTGTGTGTGGGGGGGGTGAGATTAACTTGTTAGCACAGAGAGTGAGCACAGAACTGCTTTTCAGTATAAGATTATAAGCAACAAACACGTGACATTTTAAACTCTCAGCAAGAATTCGCTTAAGGGTATAGACAAATCTACTTGCGGGTCAGAAACAGATACACAGACATAGAAAACAGCCTTGCGGACACACAGGGGTGAGGGGAGGGAAGGGTGAGCTTGGAGATTAGCACTGACACTTGCATACTGACACAGGTCAAAGGGACAGCGCGTGGGAAGCTGCTGCGGGGCTCAGCCTGGTGCTGGGATGACCGAGGGGGAGGGACGGGGACAGGACGGAGGCTCACGAGGGAGTGGATGTATGTATACACACGGCTGAGTCACGCTGTTGTGCAGCAGGAACTAACACCACACTGGAAAGCAATTATACCCCAATAAAATTATTTAATTAATTAAAACTAAACAGGTGAGCAGATAAAGATGTGGTATAACCCTAAAATGGGGTATCATCAGTCGTAAAAAGCAATGAACTGCATGATGAACCTCAAACACTCTGCTGAGTGAAAGAAACCAGACATTACAAAGCTACGTAAGATTGGGGGGCATTTATAGGAAATATAGGATTCTCTGGTAGCTCAGCTGGTAAAGAATCCACCTACAATCCAAGAGGCCCTGGTTCGACTCCGGGGACGGGAAGATCCATTGGAGAAGGGATAGGTTACCCACTCCAGTATTCTTGGGCTTCCCTGGTGGCTTAGCTGGTAAAGAATCCGCCTGCAATGTGGGAGGCCTGGGTTCAATCCCGGGGTTGGGAAGATCCCATGGAGAAGAGAACAGCTACCCACTTCAGGATTTCTGGCCTGGAGAATTCCATGGACTATATAGCACCAAAGAATTGATGCTTCTGAACTGTGGTGTTGGAGGAGACACTTGAGAGTCCCTTGGACTGCAAGGAGATCAAACCAGTCAATCCTAAAAGAAACCAATCCTGAATATTCATTAGAAGGACTGATGCTGAAGCTCCAATACTTTGGTCACCTGATGCCAAGAGCCGACTCATTAGAAAAGACCCTGATGCTGGGAAAGATAGAAGGTAGGAGAAGAAGGGGACGACAGGGGATGAGATGGTTGATGGCATCACCAACTCAATGGACACTGGGTTTGAGCAAGATCTGGGAGATGGTGAAGGACAGGGAAGCCTGGCATGCTGCTGTCCATGGGGGTCGCAAAGAGTCGGACACAACTGACTGAACACCAAAAATAGGAAATATCTGTGAAAGGCAAATGTGCAGAGACAAAAAAATGGATCGTTGATTGCCTGGGGCTGGAGGTGCGGTGGAGAATGACTTGCAGACTGGCAGGAGGAACTTTCCAAGGGAAGCAAATATTCTAAAACTGGATTATAGTGACTGTATAACTGTGTACATTTATGAAAAATGATTCAATGTTTGGATGCATAAATTACACCTTCATACAGCTGCTTAAGGAACAAAACAGATCCAAGTTAAATAAAACGGAGGATTAGCTTAAAATTAAGATGGAGGTGATGGATACATGTCAGAGCAGCGAGAAAGGGAGGGACTCCCCAAGGGGCTGACAACGCAGAAAACTGAAACGCCATCCGCGTGTCCCACAGCATTTATTTATTTACTTTTTAAAACAAAAGACAGGGACTTCCCTGATGGTCTAGTGACTAGGACTCCACATTCCTAACGCAGGGGGCCCAAGTTTGATCCCTGGTCAGGGAACTAGATGCCACAGGCCACAATTAAGACTTGGTACACTGGTGCAGTCAAATGAATAAATACTTTTTTTAAACAAAAATAAAATCTATTTGTAACTGTTTAGACATTTAATAGGAACCAAAAAAAAAAAAAAAAAGGAACCACCTGAGGTTGATAAAAGTGCAGAATATTTAACTGCAAGAGTCACACTCTTACAGAGCACTAAGATCAAAAAGTTTAGCCAAGACTCTGGTCTTGGAAGCAGACTAGTCTTACTCATGACCAGTTTTCAAGATAAATTCCTTGACCAACTGCCCCAACTCTCATTTGGCCCTACCCATGGGCTCAGCACGTAATTAAAATTAAAAACATACAGATCGTGGCGCTCCACTCTTTTGAGCAGGGGAATTTGGGAAACTCGGAGCCAAATCCTCTTTTGCTAACAGCAGAGGGAGAACCCAGGGCCACCTGGTGGCTCAGATGGTAAAGAGTTTGTCTGCAATGCAGGAGACCTGGGTTTGATCCCTGAGTCGGGAAGATCCCCAGGAGAAGGAAACCACAACCCACTCCAATATTCTTGCCTGGAAAAGTTTCATGGACAGAGGAGCCTGGTGAGCTACAGTCCATGGGGTCACAGAGAGCTGGACACAACTGATCAACTAAACACACAAGCACCAAAAAACCTCCAGTGCAACAAAACTGCAGCTGGGACAAACTCAAAGCTGGTACAGAAGTGAACTGTAACTGTATTAGTCACGCAGTTGTGTCTGACTGACTGTGACTCCATGGATTGTAGCCTACCAGGCTCCTCTGTCCATGAGATTCTCCAGGCAAGAATACTGGAGTGGGTTGCCATGCCCTCCTCCAGGGGATCTTACCGACCCAGGGATTGAATCTGGGCCTCCTGCATTGCAGGCAGATTCTCTACCGTCTGAGCCACCAGGAAAGCCCCAAAGAAGTGAGTATATGCCAAACAAACAAGTTACAGATTGAGCCTTGGTAAGCACTGATGTGCTGAAATGATGCTCTGAATTCTGAAACATCAACTGCTAAAACTCATGACTATTATAACTGGAAGAAGGAACGGCTAACCTTGAAACTAACAGATCCAGAAGGAACTCCTTGAAGGTAACAGGTATAAAGGGCTGCCACAAGTATGAGGGGACTTGTGAATTCACAGAATGCTACTCATGAATGCTACACGACTGGGAAGCAGAAGTCTTGAATTCTGTATCTAAAACCTGCCTTCAACGCACTGTATGTCCTTATTTGTAGGACAATATAATCACAAAAACTACCTATTTCAAAATTACGCTATCAGTCATCAACTCTACATAACAGGTTCTAGAGTAAAAACATAAAAACACCTAAACTTGAATTGCAGAAACATCACTCTTGAGGTTGTACAAACTTGGGCAAGTGACTATACTTCTTAAAGCCTATTTTCTCATCAGTTCTGTGGTGCTACTCCATTCACTGCTGAAACAGAATTCCCTGGTGGTCCAGTGGTTATGACTGCTCCCCTGCTGAGGGTCCAGGTTCGACCCCTGGTCAGGGAACTAAGATCCCACAGGTTGTTACAGCCCGGCCAAAAATAAATAGTTTCAATTAAAAAAAAATAAAGGATCCACTGCTAAAACATTAAATGAAATGCATGGGATACTTCAAAGACTAACAGCCATGTTTCTTTTCCTTTTTTTTTTTTAAAGCAGTTGAACAGATATAAAGGATATTGAAAGAGCACAGGGTCAAAGGCTTCAGACAAATGTTATGCCGTGAACTTAACAAAAGTGTTGAAAAAGTAAAAGAGTAAAGCTTTAAATTTTCAGTGAGAAAAAGAGCTACCATCTCTTGAGTGCTGACTGCTAAGAATTATATATGCATCATCTAATGATGAGATGTTTGGATAGCATCACTGACTCAACGGACATGAACTTGAGCAAATGCTGGGAGATAATTAGGAACCGGGAGGCCTGGCATGCTGCAGTCCATGGGGTCACAAAGAGTCAGATACGATTTAGCAACTGAACAACAACAACATCATCTACTTTAACCCTCACAACAATGCTAGAGGTCAGCACTATTATTCAACCTTGTTTTCACAGACAAGAAAACTAAGAAGTTAAATAAGTTGCTCAGGTTATAAAGGCAGAGTTAGACTCACCTTGTGTTTTTAGCACTGCTATACTACCTCTTATGTAAAACAAACAAAAAAAGAATAAACCAATTATCCTGTCAAATTCGGAGATTCTCAAATGTACAGCATACAGACTGTATACATTGTGTTTCCTGCTTTTTTAGCACAACAGAACCTAGTGTACATCTCCTTCCTTTTACTGGACCTAAATCTGATAGTTTAAAAGGTACAGAAGTTCTGAAATAACATCCTGTGATGTCTGAGTTTTCCAAGACACTCAAGGAGACAGGATCTCATATTTATCCACATACTATTCCGAAAGCAAAATAAAAACCAGAGAGGAAAAAAAAAAAACCCTTTGTTAAAAAACATCTCAGTCCACCTCTCAGCTTCTTTCGTCAAATAAAGCTATCTTAATATTTACAAGCTAAAAATTCAATATTCTTTTAGCTAAACTGGAAGACAAAACTAGGTTGATCACTGCAAACCTATGCTTACCCTATGCACAAACTACATAGCCAGTTTCTAATCTGTTGCATATTCACAGAAACGGAACCAGAAAACCTGATTAATTTCTCTAGAAACGAGTGAACAGAACAGATTATGAGCCCACACTTGTGTATTTCATCCCCTCGCCAGTGATTATCTCTCAAGTCAACACAATGACCTCGGAAGGTTTCTACACTCACCAATACTCGGTCTCCGACTTTGAGTCCTCTCTCTCCTTTCTTGATTGAGCCGGCCTCTAATAGGCTGGAGACAGATTTGCTGGCCGTTTTCGTAAGGTTGCTGATCTGAGATGTAGCTGAAGGTTCCTTTGCAGTTGGTTGGGACAATCTGCGGGGAATATGTGAGGGGGTGGCTGGGGACGAAGACGCAATGCTGACTGCCGAAGTGGACGGAGGCGAAGGGGCCCTGGCAGCGGGAGTCGTCTGCGGGCCGTCATCTTCAGCCCCGGCCCGCGCCTCCCTCGTCAGCTTTGAAGGCCGGGTGAATATGCCCTTCAGAGGCTCACACTGGAAATACCGAGCTCCTGCCACCGAGCCGTCGTTCTTGCCGATGGGTTCATCTAAAATGATCCCGGCCCACTGGCCTGGTGCAAACTGGGTTTCTCCCAGGAACTGGATAAACCCAGGCTTATTCCCGTTCACCCAAACTCGCTCCCCAACTTGGAAGTCATCCACAAACTCCTCTTGTGTCTCAGAGGACGGAGTGCTTGAGGTTTTTTCACTGCATGCTGTGTTTTCTGTTGGAGCGACAACTGCAAACAGAAGAAAGGATCAGAAAAGATTCAGTTTCATATTTAAGCAGACAACTCTTAAGTTAAGGAAAATAAACTAGAGAAGAAGAGTCAAAAGCAGCAAAAGTAGCCACAATACTTCAAGAGATGCTCCGTTTATCTTTCTTCTTTTTTTTTTCAGCAAGGAGGTAAAATGTATTAATACCTGATCCATCACTACTGTTTTCAATGCTATCAAACCTCAGTGAGATGATAAGACTTAACCCTTATTTGTAATTTAGATTGGAAGAAGTCAAAAACAAGGGGGAAAAAAGTAGTCCTTTTCCCAGAATTTGTAACGTAGGTCTGATTTCATTGTTTCCCCATATCCTCCACATTGGTGAACTCAGACCCATGGAAATGGACTCTATTCCCCCATTTGAGAGGTCACCTAGAAATGCCAGGACTAGGCCAATAGTCACAACAGAGATTCTCAATAAACTTGACACAGGAGGAGATTTGTTGCTGGAGTCCCCACCATCACTGTTCCAAGACTATTCTTTTGCTAGCAGAGGTGGAAGCTCCAGCAAGGAAGAAAAGAGAGCCAGGCTCCCTGTGAAAGCAAGATGACTTTGCAAACTCTACCCGATGGTAAAGACAGAGTTAAAATTTTGCCAGAAATGTGGTATTTCCACTAGAAATACATTCATGCATCCACCCACCAACCACTGATTAAATATTTAGCATGAACTGGCAAACAGAGTCTGAATTCTTCATGTCTGCCATTTACCGGGCATATCCTGATCTTAGGATGTTACATGATCTGAGGTTTTCTTTATCTGTAAAGGGGGAGAATAGTGTTATCTTGATGTTTTTTCTTCCCAAAATGAGAATTAAATGAAATAATGTATTTACTCATGTTATACATCTTTTTTGAGTTCCAACCACTCCAGAACTAGTCCCAGGCACTGTTCTTAACTGGGGACAAAGGAAGACAGTATAGTCCGTGCCTTCATAGAGCTCAGAGTCTAGAGGTAGAGAAGCAGACAGTTAGACACACCAAGTCATTTCAGGTGGTCTAAGTGCTGTGGAAGAAATAATGCCTTGGGGTAGAACAGTCAGGGAAGGCCTCCTGGAGGAGGTGACATCTAGTCTGAGGTCTGATCAGCAGGAGTGAATCACACAAAGCCTGGGGAGCAGAGTGGCCTGGCTGGCTGAGAGTGGGTGCTGAGCATCTGAGCATCCCTTTACCCTACACAGAGAGGGAGACTGGAGTTTCTGTTTGTGGAGGGTTTTTATTGTTGTTTTTTTTAGAAGACAGTGGGTACTCTCAGAACAGATAATAATCTGCCAAAGATAGGGGCTAGTTTTTTTTTTTTTTAAGAGTTAGTGCTAGCTTTGCACATCAACAATCATTCTTCAGAGTGCGGCAAGCATGAATTTCTGAAAAACCATCTTCATAAAAGTGTCTTGAATTCCTTGGCAATGACTTCCTTTCAAGCACATAAGTTTTCGTCTTAATAAGCTACTTTAATCTCTAATGTGTGCCAAGGAAGGTGAGGAACCCAAGTTGAATTACATATGATCCGTGGACTCAAGGGCTCTATATGCTAAAAGGTGTGCACAAAAAATATTAAAGGTGAAAAAGACAATTCTAACAGGGGTTAAGAATAACAGTGGATGGCTTCATAGAAGGTTTGGCATTTCAAGGGGTCTTAAAAGAGGAAAGATTTTGAGAAGAAGAAGGGGATGCCAAAATTAGAACTGATTTCCACCAAAAGTAGAACTGATTTCCACAACGCTAAATAGCCCTGAAATAAGTCCATTTCTTCACAGTCCTTTGCCTTATTAGTAAAGCTTTCTTTTTAGGGACTCTCTGAAAAGAACCAGGTTTTATCCTGATACATACGAGGTAAAGAACTCATCATCTCTAATCAGTCAATACTTACTGAGCTCCTGTTACATGCCAGCAAATTTTCTAGGTGTGTAGATGGAATACAGCAGTGGGGCAGCGTGGGGAGTGGGGAGGACACAAAGATTCCTTTCCTCAAGGAAGCCCAATGAACGTCTTTATGAAAGAACTTGAAAAACAATGTTGGACTTAATAGATTATGGTCGGCACCTGGCTAGAATGGCTGAAAACCTAAGATTTATATTTCATAGTGCATAAATCACATAAAAAGATGACAAAAGCAAGCATCAGATGCCCTCTCCTCCTGCCTCTCTGATCATTATGGGTGGAAATTCATTTAAAAAAATCATGAAGTGGAAACGGTAGAGGAGGAGATGGAGAACAGATGAGGAACAGGTTGTTAAAGATGATCAAAGGCACGGGTTCATCTATAAACTGCTGAAGGCTTCCCTCATGAGCCAGACTTGAGCCACCGTAGTACGTGCTCCCTGATGACAGCGGCCAATTTCGGGTCAATGACTGTCATCGTATCTTTTCAGTCTGACTAGTCTTTGCTTTCTCTACATATCCCTAACCCCGGAGGAGAAAGGTCCTGATGGGCTCAGGAAGATACATGGGGAGGAAAACTGAAGAAATACTTTAACACTGTTAGGATCAAATACTGAAGTTAACTTGACAACTATTTCAGCACCGGTGCACCAGGGATCCCTAACCTCTGGGCCACAAATGAGTGCCTCCTGTCAGATCAGCAGTAGCATTAGATTAGAAATGTAGTACACAATAAACGTAATGCACTGAATCATCCCCAAACCCACCCCTCCACCAAGTGTGTAGAAAAACTGTCTTCCATGAAATCAGTCCCTGGTGCCAAAAAGGTTGGGACCGCTGCCTTACACTGAAGAAATGAAATTAAGATAGACTCTTCACTGAATAAGACTTCTAGATAGAAAAGGTGGGACTTCCCTGGTGGTCCAGTGGTTAAGACTCCATGCTCCCAATGCATGGGGACAGGGTTCAATTGCTGGTCAGGGAACTAGATCCCATATGCCACAACTAAGACTCAGTACAACTAAACAAATAGATATATTTTTAAAAAGACTTCTAGATATAAAATTCTATGCCTTTTAATTGAAACTTTTTCAAGTATTTTCAAGAATATGATGTTCCATAAGACTGTCTTCTTACATTTTTCGAATCAAAAGTTTTAAATAGAAGTGTTCACATAGGATTAAAACTTACTTGCTGTTAAAGAGAAACGTAACGCATTACCAGCAGCAGGTGTCTTCAAGGCTGTGCTTCCAGGCTTCAGGATGTTGGTGGGGGCCTTAAGCCTGCTTGGTTTTAGCATACTCATTGCCTTCTGTGTTGTCAGGGCTCTCTCTCCATTGCCTGTTGCCACTATCTTTCCCCAGTCTTTGATACAACTGTGGGTGATGCTACAGTGAAGTGAGTATCTGCAAAGAGATAAACAGAAAAAGAGTTTAGAATCTAGAGAAAGAAAATAGAAACAATTATGGAAAGCCGCTTTCACAACCTAAGCTCTCCCTTATGTCTGCACAGTGAACCTAAGAACCTAGAAAACTCCAGATATCCAAAAGATTGAAGATGCTGGAACTTCCTGGTGGTCCAGTGGCTAAGATTCCACGCTCTCAAAGCATGGGGTGGCGTGGGTTCAGTCCTTGGTCAGGGAACTAGATCCCACATGTTGAAACTAGGAGTTCACAATCTACAACTAGAGATCCCTAAGCAAACAAAAATATTTTTTAAAAGTCTTTTAGAAAAATGAAGATGCTGTTGAAATAGATTTAAAAGCAATTTACTATCCTAAAGACAAGAGGCTAAGGCTAGCAATATGCTCATTTTTCTTTATAGCAGTTAATAATACCAGTTCAGTACACTGCCCCAAAACCACATAACCCATAAAGAAGTTCAGAAAAATGCCCACCAGACTTAACAGAGTTAGCTTTCAGTTTTCACTTCATTCACTTCTTTGTTGCTTAAGATTTATGAGCACAAGCCTATATTAACTATATATATATAGCTTAATCCACGGAAATACATAATAACTCAATATAAAACCACATATATGTTAAATGAGAGAGAGGGTTCAAAGGCAAACTCTGTAAGAAGAAAGCCGTATCTAGAAAGTACTGAAGAAAAATAATCTTTATTCTGTTTACAGAAATACAATCATCTGATTTAGTCACGACCAAGCATGAATCTACAACTTTGGGGCTCATGCAAAACTGTACCTTGTCATTTGCTCTTTAAGAGAGAAGGAAGATCTTTGGATTTTGGAATAGGGAAGAATATTTCTAAGACATAATACCTAAGAAAACAGAATCCAAAGAGAAAAATGCTATTTACTGACACTCTCTCAAATGATTGCATTCTGTGATTTTTTCTTCCTGCTAGTTGGGTTTGGGTGATGAAGCACAGACCGCACTCTCTTTTACAAGCAATGTGCAGCATCAGTAAACAACACAGCCAGGGCTGACAGAGGTGCTGCTGGGGCCCCATGATCCCTGTGGCGGGTTGAATGGCAGCCTCCCCAGAAGATATCCATCTGGGAATTCCCTGGTGGTCCAGTGGGATGAGTCTACATTAACTATAGGCTAATATTAACTGTATTAGCCTATATTAATGGCGGGAAACCATGCTCTCACTGCCGAGGGCCCAGGTTTTATCCCTGGCTGGGGAACTAAGATCCCACAAGACATGAGGCAAAAAAAAAAAAAAAAGGAAAATCTGTTGACCAAAAGAGATATCATCTGGAATCTGTGAACAGACCTTGAGGTGAGCGCCTCCTGGATGACCTGCATGCCCTAAACCTGAGGACAAGTGTCCTAATTAGAAGAGAAGAGCACAGAGGAGACAGCCAGGTGAAGACCGAGGCAGGGATTACAGCCATGTGTCTACAAGCCAAGGGTGGCCAGCAGCCACCGAAAGCTAAGAGAAAAGCCTGAGATGGATTCCTTGAGATGGATTCTCCCTCAGAGCTCCAGAAGGAACCTACCCTGGCGACACCATAGTTTCAGACTTTTGGCCTCCAGAGCTGGGAGAGCAGATTTAAGCCACCAGGTTGGCAGTCGCTTGCTATGGCAGACCTGGGAAACTAATACAGCCACGTACATTTTTCTAATCAAAGCTAATCAGACTGAATGGAAATCAAACCACGATAGCACTTTCATCAGGCTCACGCTGCAGATTTCCCATGGTTCTTGAGAGGGTTCAAAATGGCACAAAAGTGGCTCTATTTTTTTTTTTAAGTCAAAGGTAAATTGTGCGGTTTGAGAGAAGATTGTGATTAACAGATACCGAACCGCTGTGAACCCTGAAGACAGTGGTTGCCTATTCTGACTATTAATACAAAATTCCCCGGCTCCTTACTATCACTACCATCAACATCGCTGCCAGGATCATGGCAGTGGGCTGGGAGTCTCTGCACCAGGTCGGGTGGTTCTGACTCAGATTTGAAACCATGTGCTTTACTGCTAGATCCTCACCACCCACGGTCTGTCAGATGCAAGCAGAGGTACCTGCTCCTGCTACTGCCTTAGACAGATGGAAGGGTTTGGCTGAGTCTCCTCTAGACCAGGGGTCCCCAGCCCACCAGGTCACAGACTGCTTCCTCTTAGGAACCAGGCTGCACAGGAGGTGAGCAGCGGGTGAGCAAGCAAAGCTTCATCGGTATTAACAGCCACTCCCCATCACTCATATTACCTCCTGAGCTTAGGAAAACAAGCTCAGGGCTCCCACTGATTCTGCATTATGGTGAGCTGTCTAATTATTCAATTATATATCACAATGTCATAATTATAAAGTGCACAATAAATGTAATGCACTCGAATCATTCTGAAACTATCTCCCACCCCAACCCGGTTCATGGAAAAATTCTCCCATGAAACTGGTCCCTGGTGCCAAAAAGGCGGTTTGTACGTGCAAAAAATGTCTGCGGAGGATGGGCATAGGCTAAGTGCAGGGTACCAAGGGGTCTGTGTCTTGCCAACTCTTCACCCTGGTCCAACATCATAAAGTGATGCCGATCAGGGAGGGAAGGACAGAACAGATGGAGGAGGCACAAAGGTCCTGGAGAAGCTATTACAGTGGTGAGAAGAGAGAGTGAAGCATTCCTTAAAACATCTCACTCAGGCGCAACAGTGAATTCTTGAGCTCACGTCAAGTGCTCCTCCCTAAAGAGAAATTCTGAAAACCGCCACAATAAGTGACTAGGTCAGCCTCAGCCAGTTTCAAACCTTGCAGCTCAACACACTAAGCTCACAAAATGCTGCCCCCTAAAAGCCTCGGCCTAAGAAACAGAGGTGTGTTGTTATCAGGAACTTAAGAATGGTCAGAAACTCAGGGTCTTTAAGTCCTCTGTTGTCTAATCTTTGTGCCTCTGGCTCTCAATCCACCTGAGCCACTTGAATCCCAAAGCAGGGGACCTGTGACCAAGATTTAATGAAGGAGAAAAATCTATGTCTCAATAAAAGAATTAGGAGCAACATCACCAATGTTGGCTTTTAAATCTTCCAATTTAAGTTTCTTTTTCATGCATTATTAATGCATGCCATGTCAGGCTTGCTTTGGGGGGGGGGGCGGGGAATCAATTCACTGAGAAACAAAAGATCAAAGTTCTTGGTCATGGTACCCACAAAACGTAATGACCCAGAAATGATTGCTCTGCACAATGTTTCAAGGTCAGTCAATGTCATATTGAAATGAATCAATTCCAAAACACATGCAAAAAGAAAAGAGAAGTACTTGCCTCACTAACACATTGAGAATATTTGAAATTCTGATGCTTATGGTCACTTAATCAAGAAGTTTGGATCTAAGGTAAGACCCCCTCCACCCTCCCAAGACGTGAAGACCACACCACTAGAATATTATCATTTAGAAATAAATGTTATCCTTATTATCCCAGTTGAGCCTTATAACACTATGACGTGCGTACATGAGTACTCAGTCATGTTTTACTCTTTTGAGACCCCATGGACGGCAGGCCCACGAGGATCCTGTGTACATGGGATTTTCCAGGCATGAGTTCTGGAGTGGGTTGCCATTTCCTACTCCAGGGGATCTCCCCGAACCAGCGATGAAATCTTCATCTCCTGTATTGCCTGCATTGGCCGGCAGATTCCTTATTGCTGAGGCACCTGGGAAAGCCAATTATTTTCTTTTTTAAAAAAATTTATTTATTTTGGCTGCGCTGGGTCTTAGTTGCAGCTCGAGGGATCTTGTTGCGGCATGTGGGATCTAGTTCCCCAACCAGAAACTATGCTTACTCAGACTTGGTATCCCGCAGCTATTTCCTTAAAAATGAATCACGTGAGCCTGTCACTTCAAGGAAAACAATTATTTCTTGACAAATAAAATTCAAGTTATTCACACATCCTCTGTGAACCTGAGAGTGTCTCCATACTACAGGTATTTCTCATGAGATCGACAATACTAACAAATATAATTATATTGTATAAATGAAATATGCCAATATTTGCAAGATCTCATAACTCAGTGACTCAATTTTTTTCCAACCAACAATGTATAATGTTACAAAATCACATTCATTCTAAGCACAAATTAGACCAGTGGATTTTTATGTAATGAAAGAAGTTCATTCATACAGTTTGAGATTTCACCTTTAACAAACTACAACCTATCAAGTTTTTGGAGAAGTATTAAAAGAAAAAAATCCATAAGTATCTGAAAATGCTCTGCCTTTCCTATAAATCTGAATAAGGCCAATTTTCTTCATGGACTTCAACCAAAACAATGTATCCCTACAGATCAAATGCAGGAGTTGTCTTTTACTAAGCTTGTCTTCTGTTAAAGCCAGTCATTTAGAGATATTGACAAAAATGTAAAACAATGCCATCTTGTCATTAATTCTTTTTTTACTTTAGAAAATAGCTACTCTTCATTAAAGACATATAACATGTTAGTGGGCTTATTATTATTATTTCTAATGAATTAATAAATATTTTAAAATATTTTCAGTTTTAATTTCTAATATAGAAAATATCAAAAGATAAAACCAATATAAATGAAAACTCTCTGGAGACCTCAATTATTTTTAAGGATGTACAGGGGTCCTGAGGAAAAAACATTTGAGAACTGCTACCGTAAGCATTTTTGCTTTACATTTTGAGCCACAGAGGGCTTCCCAGTTCCTAAGCGCTTCCAGAAGCATGTGCTCCTTCAGATCATTTTTAGATCTGGAAATCAAGTTAGCAAGTACAGGGTTTACTGATGTATTACCTGCACTGTTACAGCACTGTGCTAGGGGCTGAGTGATGGAAGAAGCCTGAACCTACAATCTATACAAGACCAGATGGAGCTATGGAAAGCAAC